TCAGCTTTATCATAAGCTATTTTAAAATTGCAAATAGATAAATACCTTATTCTACTTAACGTACCGTTTCTTTATTTTCATTAAAAAACACCTATCTCCATTAAACAAATGCCTTTTCGCCGCCATTTTGTCCTTTGTGCTATCGGGTTTGACAATGTTAACCCGTATAGATCTATGTAGTCAAGTGCAATTTTAGACTTGGGATAAAATTTCAAATGTGTCATATTTGGGAAAATAAATTACAAATCTCATGTGTGTGTGTGTGGCGTGTGCGTGTGTGTGTGCTGTTGTGTGTGCGTGCGAGCGCACGCGCGTATGTGTGTTTTTGTATGTTTGTTTTTGCTATCATTAAAAAAAGTGAAATATTTATGTAGATGTGCCAACCTAGCACGATATTTAATCCTCTGAAATAGTGAAAAGACGGAGCAGCTAAAAATGCATACAGGCAGCGATGATTTTCCAAAAGGCTTTTTAATTAAGAGCTTACTACGTTCTTGAAAGGGTGTTCTACGGGAAACTGTACAAAGGATCAACAGCTTTGGGTAGGGCGTTTTGCTCGACTATTCCTCTACATATAATTGGCACGTGAACAGTTGGCCCCTGACCTTTATTAACGCAAAAAGCCTGTTTTTGTTAATTTAACAATTTCAAGTTCAAAAAGTTTTAGAACTCTGACAAAATCCATTAGTTTTAAGGAAACCTTTCATGACCATTTTTAGTAAGTGATTTAACCCCCTTCTCTTTTAGTATGTTTTACACAAAAACTAAACCAAAAGTGCAAACCTGTTTTTTGATGAGAAATATTTCCGATATTCTTTTAAAAATTATTTTTTTTAGAATTAAAGATAAAAAGGCTTTGGGTTTGATAATTTTCTAGATTGGCCCGATTGTGACTGTAAATTCATTATCCCCAATTTTTAAAACATTTAATTCATGGAACTTTAAATTACAAAGTCTGTGACTATACTTACCTATTTGCTGTGCGACTACTTTCTAGATTGCCACTTTAATGAGAACACATGTTGGTCATGGAGCCTTGAGATTCAGATTTTTTTAATCTTACATTTGTTTCTGTGCATTTTATTTAAACATGTAAACATGTCATTAATGAAAAGTCAAATTATTTAAGTTTAAGAATAAATCTGACAAAATAATTTGTAAAATAACTTGAACATTATTTCAATACATGTGTACAAAGCAATTCTATCAAATATTTTCATGGCAGCTTATTAATCTAAAATCTGGCCACAATTTTTACTGGACTGCACTTTTGTTACAAAATAAGCCAACACAAATGCTTAGTCTCACAATAGTGAACATTTACATTACACTCTCTAAATCCATTATAAATTATCAATTCCCACATTTTTTTTAATCTGACCTTTCACCTCTGCATGTGAGACCTTAGCATTGATCAAAGGGAGCTGAAATTGCATAATACTAAGTTATACATTAATCTCCCAATGTCAACGGACAAGTGTTTCCATCTGACCTTTGAAGTGTAATTTATATACAAGTGTGACCTTTACCTTTGACATAAAGACCTAGTACATTTATACAACACTTCATCTCATGATGGTGAGCATTTGTGTCAAGGGATACTAAGATTCCTCAATTCATAATTGACAAAAATTTTCTCTAGTGACTTACCTTGCATATATTGACCCAATTATAACCATAATCATAACTATTGATGTTACATGTTACAAGTTTGCTGGATAGGTTCCTTACATGAAAGAATTACCTGCAGGGACTCTTAACCACAGTGTTAAGGGTCAAGTGTTTTGTAGTCAATGACTATAACCACTCAGCCACAATGCCCTTTTACATAGATTTGAAAACCAAATAGATACCAAAATAAAATGAAATCAAAACCTCTTATTTACCATAGGAAGATAACTATTTAATTTCATTGATAGATTTCTGCATTTCATTGAAAACTGATATATAAATTAAACAAATATATTCAAATTAGATCATATCTTTGTTTGTCATCATCAGAAAAAAATAAACAAAAAATAGCACTTAAGAAAGAAAATACTGCAGGCACTAAAACGAATGATGTCCAGGTCTCACTTGCCTGTCACTCGACAGTTTAATGATCAGATAGTCACCAACTTTACAGGAAATTGTCTACAGATATTTCAACTCTATACAAGCCTAATTATTTAAATGACTTTGGCAATCTTGAAATGGTTAAAGAGTAACGATTATTGAAATTATTTTTCGAGAATTACAAAAAAAACTTTTGTAAGTAATGTCTTACGCCTTGAAAATCTTCACTCTAATTATCAAAATCAATTAAAACTAATTCATACAGTGAACTTATTCAAATCATAGATGAAAAGAAAATATATATGCAATGTATGCTGGACTACAGTAATAATAACAAAATATAATATATTGCACAAAAGGAAATAAAAACTTTACAAACAAAATAATTACATACATGTAAGAAAATACATGACTAACTAATACTGTAATAAAAGTACTACTAATACATAATAGTTGTTTATTATGATTCAGACTGCTTCCTAGTTAAATACACACTAACCTTTCTTATGTGAATATATACATGTATAATATATGCACATTGTTAGAGACAGAAAAAAATAACATTTTATATAAAAGATATGGCATCATTTAAGCAAATAATGTTGTTAAGTAAATCACACCTGGACCTGAATGAAGTTCATAGCTGTGCATAACTGCATATATAGTATAAAGAGGATATTGAAATTTTCGAAATGTTAATTTCCCACAGGCCTGTGTACCACGTATCTAAGAATTTTGTACTGTTACATAGGTAACAATACTTTTTAACAGTATAAAATCTGGTCTCGTGGTCTATTTTCTAAATAAAATGAAATAAAATGGCCATTTCATATGGAAAACTTGTTCCGGTTAGGTGGTTTCCTGCTTACATCTGTTGGTGCATGATTGAACGGGAAACCAGATGCAATTGTGCCAATCGCAACTTTTCGGCCTTTTCCGTCAGTCTTCGGATTAATGATAATAGCCGATGTAGTTCCGATTGCAACCGTAACAATTCGGGCGATTCCGTCATACTGCGGAAATCTAAGCTATTTTAGTTACTTCGGTAATCCCAGTTTGTGTTAGCCTGGGATTCAGGCGTTGATATTTTTTTGCTTATTCATAACTTACGCGCTATTTCATACTCGATCGTCATAGATAACACAACATCTCTGGTTTTGATAGTAGTGTCGATTTGCCGAACAGAAGCAAATAAAAAAATCGACAGACTGGAACCCAGGCTTAGTTTGTGTATATAAATAGGATTTCTATTTTTACTTGATTTATCGGTTTAAACCGTAATAAATTATAAACGAAATTGTTCCGTTTCATTTGTTTTTCAAGACGCAAAAGTTAGTTTCTTTTATAATTGTTTTTGTCTGTAATAGTTTAAAATACAATAGAGAATGGTGACTGATTATTCCGTCTTCAAAGGGTTATCACGCATGATCGAGTTATATTTAGATCTACTGAACGCAATTCAACTTCTTGGTGAGGTAATCTAAAAATAGCCCATGCATATCATTAACCTTGCCACGATCATAGTTGATACATGCTTATTCTGTTGTGCCCATTGGCCAATCAGAATTATATGAGGTAACACGTGACCGCCAGACGCTTATCAGCCTCAGTAGCAAGTTAGCTTTCGGACGCGACACTCGGACTATTAGACTCTATAATTAATAATAATTCCTTTGTTTTCAATATTCTCCTTGTTTATTTTTGAAACGGATTTATAGTTTTTGGAAATTGTTTAGAGGGATATATAAGTGTGATATGATAAAAAATTATTGACTCAATTCGATAATTTTACTGATTACAATAAACTTTCGAACTTTTTCTTTGTTTGATCAACGTACGGTCAACATAACTATGGCTGGCGTTTCTAACGGAAACATTTCGCCCAGCGCGAGCACTAATGGTGCCGAGATCGAGAACGGACATATAGCGCCAGAGCAAAATGTCGTTTACGTTCTCGATCCCTCCTTTTTTGCATCAGAGCAAAAGACTGACAATTCCTTTGTTTGGAACAAAAATGGCGGAGAAGCTGCCCACGCTGACCAAACTAGCGTGGACAACATCACGTGCTCAAACGATCCAATTATAGCACAGCCCGCTACGCTGCAGTACGGAATCACGCAGCTACGTCACGACCCGGAAACGAGGAAACCAATCGAAAACGGGAACCCCGCATCATCAATAAATAGCGTGGGAATTTCTTCACCAACACCGGGTTTTTCCAAGGGGAAAACTAAAGATCATCGAGGCGAGATTAAAACCTTGAATGCCCGTCTTGATTCAAATGAAAGACAAATGCAAGAAATTTCTGGAATACTTGTGTCATTGAATGAAAAATTCACTAACTTTGTGGAAAATGGACCACGACCAAATATCACCACTGAAAGCATCCAGTCAGACGACGACGATGATGAAGGCAATTCGTCGGATGATAATTATTCCGTCCACGATGGGGTACTTCCGGTAAAAAACACGGATGTAAACAATGAATCAAAATTGAAAAAACTTCTAGATTTCTCCGCGAAAGTTGATGGGAAAAAAGAATGTGTCCCTCCAGTAAACGAGACATTAGCCACGGCAGTACAAAATTCAATAAATGTGAACTTTGACCAAGAAAAGGGAAAGAAATTGGCGGATGCAATAGAATATCCGGAAAACTGTTCACTTTTAGCTCCTCCAAATGTGAATGAAGAAATATGGCATGATTCGTTTATATCAAAGCCTCTACGTATACAGGACTGTGGACTGCAGAATATCCAACTTTTCATTGGGAAAGCAATGGTGCCAATGATTAATATGATGGATTCTATGTTGGAAAGTGACTCGCAGGAAAGTACCAAATGGTTCAATCAAGCCTTTGAGGCAGTGGAACTCCTGACATTTGCACATAGAGACGTCACAAACAATCGCAGAAAATTGTTAAAACCAGCACTAAAGCCAGAGTTTGGAAAATTTTGCGCACCCAAAACACCAGTTACCAATCACCTCTTTGGCGATAACCTCTCAGAACGGGTTAAATCGATAACTGACATGAAGAAGTTGGGGAAAGACATTGCCAAATTTGAAAGGAAACTGGGCAAGAAACGAACATATGGCGTAAAGGACATGCCGAGAAACACATATTCATCGAGCAACCCCAACTACAATCAGTCACATGGTCAACCACCGGTCAAGCGCCAATACACTAGTAAACATTACAATGTGGCCAAGGATTTTTTATCCAGGCAGGGCCTGTCTCACAGGGACAAGCAAAAAACCCAGGGACAGGGCCAGTACCAGAAGAACAAGAAGTGAATGTAAGTAACTTATATCTTTGTAAAAATTTGAGCAACAAATGGGAATCATTCACAGCCGGTAATGTTGCAAAAAATATGACTGCATGGTACAAAATAACATCAGACAAATGGATCTTAAAGACATACTCGCAGAATTAATGCGACATCTGGCGTATCAGAAACATTGGCACTAAGAAAGATAACCGCGTTTGAAAAATAACTGGTTTTTTATCACTGAGTTACTTCCCCTACGCATTTCCGGTTTTACTTCCGCTTAGAATTTGCCGTTGAAAAAAACACAGAAAATATGAAAAGACGGTGGAAAGGCAAGTTTATGAAAGCTGGTAAGCGTGCAAGATTGGAGAATTTATCTCAGCAAATGTCAACTAAGCCGAATTTGTCAGAAAACAGCGATTCTACCCTTGAGAATGACAGTCAAGTTGAAACAGAAAGTGGGTGGGGTATTGGTCGCAGAATTGTCGAGTTGAAATTTCCTTGCTGATCAACTCAAAAGTTGCAATAACTGTTCAAAGCCGCTACAATCTATTCAATATTTACAAGGAACAACGGGTTGGATATGCCAGATCCTGTATATCTCATGTGATGTGGTATATTGAATAAGATTTCAACAGGAAAAAGCCACCGTCCACTTGGCAAGTCAAAACGAGGAATGCCTGTGTATGACATCAATACAAAAGCTGTATTAGGTATATATAATATTATCTCATAAATATTTTTGATAGCAGTAAATGTATATAAGTTTTTAATGGAAAGAATTTATGTGATATGTTGATATCTTTAACAGTTTTACTTAATTTACAAGCACACAATTTTGTCTTTGTCCATATAATTTATAAAACAAAAATGTGCGGTACAGTAAAACTCAATCGGTACTATGATCAAGTCACTAATTAGGTATTATGTACATCAAAGCGAATTGTAGTAACACTTCTATTCTAGAAACAGATTATTCATTCATGACTTGGATACAAATTTGAGGTAAACCAGAGGCCCCTCATTTATTAGATGCATACCAAACCATGTTGCTGAAGGTTAATCCAACAATTAGATGTTGAAAATGACTTTAATTAAATTTTTATTACATGCACTACACTCCTCCCCACTTTAAATAATCAAATTATTCACAAATTAAATTTTTTTGGTAATTTCCGTACACCCCAGACTTTTGCCAAGAGTATTTGCTTGAAATACAATTACAACAATGTACGGCTATGTACTTTATTATGTGCAATTCCCCGGTGCTACTTTATTAATATGGTAGTATTCTAGTTTATGACTATTTTCTAGCATTTAATTCCTCAAAGATTAAAATTAAAAACAAATTGGCTTATTACATGATCTTATAAAATGTTGTTACATAGATGATTTTCTAATTTCTAACTCACACATTTTGTTTGTTTTTAGGTATAATCCATTCTGGCTTGACATACAGGCAAATGAATAGTTTAATGTCAACTATGGAAGTAAGAGGCCTACATCACTCAGCCATGACCAGATTGGAAGCTGAAATTCATCCACATATACAAGATGTCGCTCATGAATCATGCTCAGCAGTTCTTCAAGAAGAAGTACAAATCAATAGGTCAGTTTTAATAAATAAAACATATGAGCCGTGTCATGAAAAACTGAAAAACCAAAACATATTTTACCCTATATAGATAAAAACACCAATTTTAACTCTTGTATTTGAAGTGTGAAAAATTTTGAGCTCATAATGAAGACAGTGAATGGCTAAGATAACATTATATTCCACATTGCGTATTTTAGATAATATGCTGTGAATGAAACCCAGTATGCTATTGGTTAGTTTGATAATTTTTCAAGCAAATAGCTAACATTGTTTATTCATTGTTGTTTCTTTTGTTTATATTTTCACCTTGCCTTTTCAACCTTTTGAAATATTGCTTTGAAATCATAGGCATGTTTTAATATCATAGTCACATTCTACCATCTAGTATTGATAATTGTCAAGCAGATTTGTTACATGTTAGTCTTGTCTCTAAATGCCATAACGATTTTTATTATCATTTCATTTCAGCCCAACATTTTCTGGAGGAGATGACCAAGCATCAGATCCTACCAATAAAGAAGGAATTTTTAAATATGACATGGGATGGCAGAAACGAGGTAGTGGTCGATCATATGACAGTAAGTCAGGTGTTGGGACCCTCATAGGGAACAACACAGGAAAAATATGTGCTTTTGGTGTGAGACAGTCAGACTGTAGAATTTGTACCCGTGACGTAAATGGAAATAAAGAGAATGTCCCACCTCATAACTGTACTAAAAATTGGTCTGGTAGCGCAAAAGCAATGGAATCAGATGTTGGAGTAAACCTTATCAAATCTATTGAAAAACAAGGTGTGAAAGTATCAACAATAATTATGGATGATGATACAACAACTATGGCTAGAATAAGACAAGACATAAACCATACTGTCAACAAATGGAGTGATGTCAACCATACCACTAAACATTTAACAAAATAGCCTCTTCCTACTTCAGAAAAAAGCACAGAATTTTAACAAACAATGTGATAGCTTACCTCAAGAAATGTTTTAACTACGCTCTTGCTCAAACGAAAGGAGACTCATCGGCATGTAAATCGCAGATAGAACAGATTGTCCCCCATGCTTTTGGTAATCATTCCATGTGTGGTGAGTGGTGTGGCTTCCAAAATAATCCAGACAGTTACACACATAACACATTATCAAAAGACTTATCTGGTGAGGACCTGAGAAAAGACTTGGATGCTGTGTTCAAATCATTCAGCCAAAACTGTGAAAAAATTGCACCTGGCGGTTCGACAAAGGATGTAGAATCTTTCAATAATATGGTGGCCTCCAAAGCACCTAAGAGGTGTCACTTTTCAGCTACTAGTAACCTCTTGTCTCGTGTTGGATGTGCTGTCGCTCAAAACAACTTGGGTAATGCCTACGTGAGTAGAATATATGCCAATTTAGGAATATCACCCGGAAAGGTGTACTTGAAAGAGGCTATGTCAAGGGACACTGAAAGAAAACGTCAGCTGATATACAGTAATAAAAAAGAAAATAAACTTAGAAAATTACAAAGGAAATCAAAGAAAAGGTTGGATCTTGGCAAGAAAGAAAAGAAAGAAGGTACTACATATCAGACAGCAGTGGCCATCTCCCACCATGCAGACGACACCTCAATTCCAACATACTCTCAGCCACCAGAGTTATCCCCAATTACCTCAGCTGAAAATGTTGTGTTTTTTGATATAGAAACAGGCTCTCTTGCTAAAGACACAGACATATTACAAATAGCAGCTTGTTATAAAGATAAAACATTTGAACAATACATTCTTCCAAGGAAACCAATAGCGCCATCATCATCCAGAGTTACCGGACTTACAGCAAAGTGGGGGTTCTTTTTTTTTTACATGGGTCCCCTGTCCAGCAATACCACTGAAAGAAGCTTTAAATTCGTTTCCTAAACTGGTGCCAAGATATAGAACCAGTAGTGTTAATCGGACACAATCTGAAACGTTTTGATTTTCCTAGACTACTGATGGCATTTCGAGCAGTAAATATGGAAGCTGAATTTACAAATGCATGTTTAGGAGGTGTGGATACGCTACCAATTTTCAAGGAAATTCATCCTGGTATGGAAAACTACAAACAACAGTTCTTGTATGAAACATTACTGAATAAAAAGTACTGTGCTCATAATGCCCTTGATGATGTTCTGAGTCTCCAAGAATTATATACTTTTTCAAATGTGTCACATAATCAGATCATAAAATCAAGTTTCTCAACAGTATGGAATTTCCAAAACTTGACTTACAAGGAAGTGACCGAGTGTAATGAAAAAACAATGGAATCCCTGGCTACAAAGAAAGTTCTATCAAAGCAGATGATTACTAAAATTGCATGTTCTGGACTTGAATACAAACATTTAGTGGCAGTTTTTCTCAAGGATGGAAAAAATGGCCTGAAAACAACTTTTGGGTGAAAAAAAGGACGGTGTTACACGAGTAACATCATGCAAAAGAGTGCTAGATTCTTTGACAGATCATTTTATTTCTGAACAAACTTGACAATAGATAAAATTGTAAATATGTATATTGTTATGAAGAAATCAAAGACACCATATATACAGTGTTAAACTGATATAATACTTATGGAAATTACTGAGTGGTATTTCTAGTGACTAAAAGTGAGTCTGTGACTGAAAAATTCGTAAGGGGTATACATACAAGATATCAAATATTTCAAAACTTTTAATGGTGACACAGTGTTTTCTGTACATTTTCTTGTTGCTTATGTATTTATCTAACTTATGGCCAAGTTTGGTATGTTTCCTATTTGTAGTTTTTATAAAAAATTCATCTTTTCTGTGAAAAGATGCCAAAATATTCGAAAATTCCATAATAAAATTTAGCAAGTTATAAGTTTTATTTTGTACAACAAAATGTTAATAAAGTTAAAACAGTTATTTTTTATTTATTTTTTGTCTAATATACACATATTTATTTGAAAACATAATGTTTAATGTAAAAGAAAAAGATTGCAAAAGAATTATGTGCATTTTGGGAAATCACCATAGAAAATAAGATTTTGCCTGTAAAATTGTCTGTAAACCGGTCATATACCCTTACTTTAAAGGCAAATATAAAAGAAAATAGTATGGTAACATATAAATATCTTTGGATCAATGTGTTCATTATAGTTTAAAGGGTATCTGTGCAAATTTTCAGGCATTTCTTATTTGAACTTCATTTGGGTGTATATGTCTTTAAGAAATGTAAAACATGGATGTAAAATTGACTTTGATTGCGAAAAGTTTAACATTCCAAATATGATAGGCACACCCCCTCGCATGACATTTTCGGAATCTGAACAAAAAATCATAGAAGAACAGTTAAGCTCATTGTTACACCAGAATGTAATCGAGATAGTTGAACAGTCACCTTCTCAAGTGTTATCGAACATTTTCTTAAGACCGAAAAAAGATGGTACCCATAGACTTATCTTGAATCTGAAACCATTAAATCAGTTTGTTACAAAAAACCACTTTAAAATGGAAACTTTAAAACATGTGCTGACAATGATAAAGCCTAACTCTTGGTTTGCAAGCATTGATCTAAGACAAGCTTATTATAGTATTTTAGTTCATAAAGATTATAGGAAATATCTGAGATTTTTGTTTAAAGGTGTTTGCTACGAATTCAGAGCTCTTCCTAATGGTCTTTCGTGCTCGCCGCGATTATTTACAAAAATTCTGAAACCAGTCTTTTCAACGTTACGGAAGACTGGCCATGTAAATGCTATTTATATCGATGACAGTTTTTTAACTTCTGAAACTTTTAATGAATGTGAAGAGAACATTCTAGACACATTAAAACTGATAGACAACTTAGGTTTTACAATTCATAGTGAAAAATCAATATTAAAACCTACACAAGGTATAAGTTTTGTTGGGTTTTGGCTGAACTCAGTGGACATGACCATAAAATTGACACCAGAAAAATGTGAAAGCATAAAGAGTTGTTGCCATTCAGCATTAAGGGAAACAACTATGACAATAAGAGAATTTGCAAGAGTAATAGGAAAATTGGTCGCAAGCGAACCAGGAGTACAGTATGCGGGGCTCTATTATAAGCATTTGGAAATTGAAAGAGATACCGCTTTAAAAATCAATAGAGGGAATTTTGATGCAAAAATTAAATTGTCTCAAAGCAGTAAGAAATGTTTAGAGTGGTGGATTGATAACATTGATGATTCATTCAGACCAATTAATTTACCTGATCCAGACATGATAATAGAAAGCGATAGCTCGACATCGGGTTGGGGTGGTTATGATAAAACAAATGACATTAAAGTGTCAGGCTTATGGTCAACAGATGAAAAGAGTCACCACATAAACTACTTAGAACTTAAAGCGGCTTTTCTTGTGTTACAATTTTTGTGTGAGCAAAGAGTAAACATACATATTCATTTGTTTCTAGATAATACCGTTGCTATGAAATATCTTTCAAAAATGGGGGGGGGGGCGTGTTAGAGAGCTTAATGATTTGACCCAAGAGATATGGAAATGGTGTGAAAAACGGAACATATGGCTTACCCTGTATTATATACCAGGGGTAGAAAATGTGACAGCAGACAGGTTGTCAAGATTAAAATCAACTGACATGGAATGGTCTGTTACAGATAGTATTTTCATAAAAATTGTGAAGAAATTCAATGTTTCATGTGAGATTGACTTATTTGCATCCGAAGACAATACAAAACTACCAAAATATGCCTCTTTTACCCCTGATTCGAGAGCTTTCGCAGTCAATGCTTTTTCTCTTAACTGGAATAACTTTAAATATGTGTATGTTTTCCCTCCTTTTAGTTTGATCGCAGCAGTTCTCCAGAAAATAGACCGGGAAGAAGCAACAGCAGTTTTAATAGCACCATTGTTCACAACTCAGGTTTGGTTTCCGCGATTACTAAAAATGATATGCAAGCCAAGTTACCTACTACCACCGACAAATCACACATTGGTCAACACGAAAATTCCAGGAAAACAACATACGCTGAAACACATGAAATTGGGTGTTTTCCTGATATCAGGAAAAAACTCCTTAGTGATGGACTATCAGAAGACGTTATCGACCTGCTCCTTGCTTCATGGAAAACATCAACATCTAAACAATATTTCTCGTATTACAAAAAATGGGTACTCTTTTGTCGTGAAAGGAAAACTGATAAATTTAACCCACTTATAAAAGAAGTCTTGTGTTTCCTGAAAGAGCTGCATGACAATGGATTACAATATAGTGGTCTAAATACAGCAAGGTCAGCAATTTCAAGTTTACTAGAGTTAACAAGTGATATTCAGGTAGGAAAGCATCATCTAGTTAAAGGATTGTTGAAAGCACTGTTCTTAAAAGCACCATCATTACCTAGGTATAAAAATACTTGGGATGTTCAAAAAGTACTAAAATACATTGTTACACTGGGGAAAAATGAGAACTTGGACTTGATGTCATTATCATGCAAGTTGGCACTTCTTATCGCTTTAACAACAGGACAGCGGTGCCAAACTCTATTTTTTATAGACTTGAGAAATATCGAATTTACCGACGAAGGTGTAAATATTAGAATCGGTGATCTATTAAAACAGTCTGGTGTAAATAGGCATTTAGATGAAATGTTCATAAAGTATTTTAATCAAAATGATATATTATGTGTTGTAAAATGTTTAATTTTTTATATTAAATACACAGAAAATATTAGAAAATCCTCACAACTTTTTGTTGGGGTTCAAAAGCCTCATAATGCTGTAACTAAATCAACTATAGCTAGATGGATTAAAAACATTCTTAAATATGCTGGGATAGACATTACCGTATTCAGAGCCCACAGTGTGAGATCAACTGCATGCAGTACAATAAAGGGTCATATCCCAATTGACACTATCTTAAAAACTGCTGGTTGGTCTAAAGAAAGTACATTTCGAAAATTTCATGACATTCCAGTAAAATGTTCTGGTGATTTTGGACATGCTCTATTATCAAAATTAGGACAGTAAAAAATTTATGTTTTTTCAGAAGAGTGATTAATTGATTGATTGATTATTGATTGATTGACTGCAACAAATGCAAAATCTATTACTTCATATATTGTTTTATTGTCATTTTGTAATTTCACTATAAGAATAATTTTATTATGTTATATTACTATATTCTATATATATTATATGGGCATATATGTACTGGATCTAGAGTAGAATTTAATAGATTACATATACAAAACAATTACATTTCCTTTGTGTTTACAAGATATGATATCAAGAATATATTGGTACCACGGTACCACGTAACGAAGTATTTTAGTGCATTTACTTGTCTATAAAGCAAAGGAATGATTTCGCTGCGAAAATGGGGAAATGAGATGTGCACACTTGTTTTCCTTCAGTATCACGTTAATATTTTTACGATTGATCATTTTCTTTATTAGTTTTATACAGTAGAGAATAGATCTAAATCGTTTTGACAAAAAAATATTCATTTTTCCAAAAAAAAACAAACTAAATAAACCCTTTTTAATAATAAATTGAACCCCCCCCCCCCCCCCCCCCCCCCCCCCAAAAAAAAAAACAATTTTAAAAGGTTGGGATGAAGGCTCAACTTTGCAAGCCTTTCCTTTTAAAAGGAAACATTATTTCTTGATTTATTCTTATTTTCGACGTTCACACGATAGGACATCACCAGAGTAACTATGACACCCATAAAATTTAGTTGTTTGCACACTGTAGTTACCTACTACCACCGGCAAATCACACATTGGTCAACACGAAAATTCCAGGAAAACAACATACGCTGAAACACATGAAATTGGGTGTTTTCCTGATATCAGGAAAAAACTCCTTAGTGATGGACTATCAGAAGACGTTATCGACCTGCTCCTTGCTTCATGGAAAACATCAACATCTAAACAATATTTCTCGTATTACAAAAAATGGGTACTCTTTTGTTTTGAAAGGAAAACTGATAAATTTAACCCACTTATAAAAGAAGTCTTGTGTTTCCTGAAAGAGCTGCATGACAATGGATTACAATATAGTGGTCTAAATACAGCAAGGTCAGCAATTTCAAGTTTACTAGAGTTAACAAGTGATATTCAGGTAGGAAAGCATCATCTAGTTAAAAGATTGTTGAAAGCACTGTTCTTAAAAGCACCATCATTACCTAGGTATAAAAGTACTTGGGATGTTCAAAAAGTACTAAAATGCATTGTTACACTAGGGAAAAATGAGAACTTGGACTTGATGTCATTATCATGCAAGTTGGCACTTCTAATCGCTTTAACAACAGGACAGCGGTGCCAAACTCTATTTTTTATAGACTTGAGAAATATCGAATTTACCGACGAAGGTGTAAAAATTAGAATCGGTGATCTATTAAAACAGTCTGGTGTAAATAGGCATTTAGATGAAATGTTCATAAAGTATTTTAATCAAAATGATATATTATGTGTTGTAAAATGTTTAATTTTTTATATTAAATACACAGAAAATATTAGAAAATCCTCACAACTTTTTGTTGGGGTTCAAAAGCCTCATAATGCTGTAACTAAATCAACTATAGCTAGATGGATTAAAAACATTCTTAAATATGCTGGGATAGACATTACCGTATTCAGAGCCCACAGTGTGAGATCAACTGCATGCAGTACAATAAAGGGTCATATCCCAATTGACACTATCTTAAAAACTGCTGGTTGGTCTAAAGAAAGTACATTTCGAAAATTTTATGACATTCCAGTAAAATGTTCTGGTGATTTTGGACATGCTCTATTATCAAAATTAGGACAGTAAAAAATTTATGTTTTTTCAGAAGAGTGATTAATTGATTGATTGATTATTGATTGATTGACTGCAACAAATGCAAAATCTATTACTTCATATATTGTTTTATTGTCATTTTGTAATTTCACTATCAGAATAATTTTATTATGTTATATTACTATATTCTATATATATTATATGGGCATATATGTACTGGATCTAGAGTAGAATTTAATAGATTACATATACAAAACAATTACATTTCCTTTGTGTGTACAAGATATGATATCAAGAATATATTGGTACCACGGTACCACGTAACGAAGTATTTTAGTGCATTTACTTGTCTATAAAGCAAAGGAATGATTTCGCTGCGAAAATGGGGAAATGAGATGTGCACACTTGTTTTCCTTCAGTATCACGTTAATATTTTTACGATTGATCATTTTCTTTATTAGTTTTATACAGTAGAGAATAGATCTAAATCGTTTTGACAAAAAAATATTCATTTTTCCAAAAAAAAAACAAACTAAATAAACCCTTTTTAATAATAAATTGAACCCCCCCCCCCCCCAAAAAAAAAACAATTTTAAAAGGTTGGGATGAAGGCTCAACTTTGCAAGCCTTTCCTTTTAAAAGGAAACATTATTCTTGATTTATTCTTATTTTCGACGTTCACACGATAGGACATCACCAGAGTAACTATGACACCCATAAAATTTAGTTGTTTGCACACTGTAGTGCTTTACGCGTATAAAATATCTTTTTGTTGTATAGTCAAAAAGTAAACATCCGTTTCCAACGGAAGTAATTGCAATGTAAATAATTATGTGTCAAACTGGCTGATGCAGACGATTTATGCATGCAACAAAGGATTATTTAACAATTTGAATCAGTGAAAAGTTACAGACATAGGATATCATCGTTAATTTGTCAAAAACCATGCGTTTAATATTCTAGATACAGAAGGATCAGATTTCACAGATCATAACCGTATAAATGGGTTAGTGTTTTGTTTTCTAAATAAAACACAGCTTATTGCATGTTTATGACTAGTAGATGTCATCACTTGCTTAGAGAATAAAAGAAAAAGAAAACTTCTTAAGTAGGCCTAAAGTACACTTAAAACTTAAAACAAAATGGCTGTTTAGTTACTATTACTCTTGATTTATTTATGTTACAGTTAGATTTAGTTGACAATTTCAGATCCTCACAGTATTTGTTCGTGGTAATGAAATAAATAACACATGGGTTTGTGAGTAACAGTAAAAATATCATCCCTCGTAAAAAAACTATTACCAACAGTATTTTCCTCGGGATGATATTTTTACTTTTACCCACGAACTCATGTGCTATTTATATACAATTGTGTTGCATCATGAAAGTAGAGTTAATAAAGTACTGTTCTGTTCTGTTTTGTCATAAAATTATATATTTTAATGATAAAGTTTTTGCCTTTATACAACTAGCATTGAAATCAGATAATATATCTGATCACATTATAAAACGATACTTCGTAAGTCTTCACATTTTTGCCAAGTCCGATAGTTTGGGCTGTTCCGGGTGATACGGCTAGCCAGAAATAATATAGTTATACTTGTTCAAACGAAGTAGCCGGAGATAGAGTGTATCAATAATATAAAAATACATTATAAGATAAACAAATGGTCTTTTGCACAGGTTTTACAGTATTATCTCAGGCTATCCTATTTAGCCGGAATCGAATTCAAGCTAGCCGGAACAACCGAACAACCGGACTAAGCAAAAACAGTTTCGGCTGTCCGGTTAACTTCACGAACTTATTAAATCCAAAGAAAATAAACAGACTAAATTGACCGGTTTTCTTTTCACATGTTCCATATTTTGTCCTTTAGTTTTGACTAAATGCATTTAAAACTAAAATATTACGAAATGAACAAAGAATTGCAATCGCACTTTCAATTCATGCATCTTACAAAAAAAATCGCACACGACATGTAATCAGGAATCATTTTACTTTTAGATAATATCTAGTACATTTGTCTCCAATTTGATTTTATCACACACTCGTGCCGATTTTGCGACTCCGTAAATATGGTATTGCACGACCGTGCACGACCGTGCATTTATTTTAACGCGACACAAACATAGCGTTACGACGCGCTTAATGTTAGCGTTATACTATAGGCGCGTCAATGAAAAATGACGCTTTTTTCACT